TGACGCCCACTGTTTGTCCCTCAGACAAGCCACATGGTAAATAAATCTTTTCTTGACGTCAAGGAAGCAGGGATTACATGCATTAATCAAGTTTGTAATAGAGTATCTGAGTTCGGAACATGATAGCGGGGGAAATCTTTACAAATTCTTCGCCTCATCGCCCTTGAAGCGACCACCTGTTTGTTCTCATAAGAATTGCTCTAGCAGAAAAATTAATGTGGTGTAGATCAGTGCACTAGGTACGTAAATGCTCTATAATCACGGTCTGCTTAAATGTCCTCTCCCCAAACGGCAAAGAGGGTTGTCCTATGATTCATTAAAGTCTCTTTAATTAATTATGTACCTGTTATTGAAACTATCATATAGCGACATAACGGATCTGATTGCGTAAAGCGAATATTGTGCTTTAAATTGACTTATCATTACAGAGATGACTGAGCACTAAAAGTCGACAGTTACGAAAACAACACTTCATTTCATAAAATTCGTTTGTTTCTCACACAAGCCTGTTATATTTGTTTCTGACTCGTTTTTCTTACATCTTCCGACTTGCGGACGGAAAAAGAACTTCTAACGATTAACCTTAATATGACTGCCATTTCTTTATGCGCATCAAATTTTGCTTTAAATGGCACGAAACAGTAAAGGAACAGTGCTGTAACATGAAAGAGAAATTTGCAATTTAATATGATAGTTTTGAACGGGGTTTAGCATTTTGGTATGTTAACAATATATAGTTATCAGTCCAGTTTTTATCGTTTAATATCTTAACTTGGTAATTACAACTAGTTTTTGCAGCGAAACAGTGACCACTATGCAATAGTCGGCTATGTTACAACTTTTGCATAGAATTGCTTGAACCCATTCTGCCACATCCTGAATAAGTTTCCAGTGTTAGGCTTTGAATAGACTGTTGTGCATGCAATGTCCAAAAATTACATTTATACGTAGAAACACCCTACATAGTAGATAGGTGCTGAACAAAAATTTCATGCAGAGAAAACACGATAGGCGACAGTTAGCATTGGAAAAACTGTTTCAGGAGGAGGTAAGATAGCACTATAGAATGCTTCGAAGTAAGTGTAAACTTATTAATAGAGCAGTGTATATAATGGGAAAAATGAAAAATTTACGAACTCAGTTATTTTGGGTCAACCTTATTTCGTTTTCAAAAATCCAGCACAGAAAATTTCTGTTTCATGTCTCATTTAATAGCAGCTGTGCTCATAAATTTCAGTTTAGAACAGTTTCTAAAACAAGAATAGCATAA